CCCGCCGATTCGGGTGGCCGAGTCACCTCAGCCACGACGTTGTTCCGCCCAGGGTGACGCAGTCCAGGTCGATATTCGCACACAACGAAAAGATGGTTTACGGAGACCCGAAAGATATTCTCATCCCTCCAAAGTATCGTCCTTCGTTGCAGCGTTTGCAGTTGCAGCTGCAACAGATGCACGCGAATCACGATCCAACGCACACCGGGATCCTCGACCTGACGCAGAGGTCCAACGACAAGTCGGTGTTCCCGAGACCGAGCCTAGAAATAGTGAAAGTACCTGTAGTGCCGAGGCCTAATCCGTTGAATCTGGAAATGAGGAACTCGTCCGCCATCAAAGAGAAACCGACGGACTACTCGAAACGAAATACCTTCCCCGCTTACCAGAACGTGCTCGACGGTCGAACGATGGCTTCGAACAACCTGGAGATCACGATCGTCGGTCCCAAGCAGAAGCATAATCACGCGAACGGGCCGACGTCGCACGTGCGGATACCGAGTCCGCACAGGAACAACGTCCTGCCCGTTCAAAGAAGGCAACACGCGAACGGCAAGTACACGACGAGGAGCGAGCCAGTTTCACCGTATACGCCAAGGAAACCGAGTCATCCCGTCATACCTAACGTACCTAACCTGAATCACTTGAACTGCGCCAATTCGTATCCGAGGATGGCGTCCATGCAACACCAGAACACGATCGACAGGAGAAAAAACGTGGATATGGGCGGTAACAAGGAACAACATCAGCACCAGCATCACCAGCACCAGCAGCACCAACACCAACATCAGCACCAACACCAACACCAACATCAGCATCATCAACAGCAGCAGCAACAGCGTCGAATCAGCGAAGGCGACAAGTCGTTGATGAACCAGCAACAACAACAGCAGCAACAACACCAGCAACAGCAACCAGAATCTAGGCAACAGGAAGTCGGCAGACGACACAGTGTTCCAAGCATACCGTCGGGTTTCGTTCCTGGTGTGCCGCAAAACAATCATCCAGCCTACGTTCCCCAACTGCCAAACGCACCCGGCAAGTTCCTACCGATTCTGGATCCCATGTATTATTCCGCCTTCTACAACGGCTTGTTCCCGCCGCCG